GTGCGTGTGTGGGCTATATAGTGGTCGGCGTGTGTGGGGGGGGGGCAATAGTGGTGTGCGTGTGTGTGGGGGCAATAGTGTGTGCGTATGTGGGGGCAATAGTGCGTGCGTGCGTGCGTGGGGCAATAGTGTGTGTGTGTGTGTGCGTGTGTGTGGGGGCAATAGTGCGTGCGTGTGTGAGGGCAATAGTATGTGTGTGTGTGTGTGCATGTGTGAGGGCAATCGTGCGTTCGTGCGTGTGGCAATAGTGCGTGCATGTGTGTGGGGGCAATAGTTCGTGCATGTGTGTGGGGCAATAGTGCGTGCATGTTGCGTGCGTGTGCGTGCGTGTATGTGTGGGGCAATAGTGCGTGCGTGCGTGAGGGCAATGGTGTGTGTGTGTGTGTGTGTGTGTGTGCGTGCGTGCGTGCGTGCGTGCGTGCGTGTGTGTGTGTGAGGGTAATAGTGCGTGCGCTGCGACTAACTTATAGTAATGCTGCTTGACTGACCGCGCGCTTTGACACTGAGCGTAAAAGTGTGTTTTTGGTGCTACTCTGCATGGCGCGTTATCTATCGGCTGGTCAGTCGGTCGGTGAAGGATCGGCCGGCAGTAGGCTTTGCTGTTAGAGAGAGAGAGGAGTGATGATTGGGTACGGATTTCCTCTGCCATGCCTGCTCGTAAACTTTAGATCACTGCCATTGCAATTAACATGCAAGGTTGTTTGTTTTTGGTATGAGATGTAAATATTACGAGCAAAGGTTTACAAATATTCAAAAAATTTCAAAAATTCACAATTGTGCGATTTCCCATTTTGCGCACGGCAGTTTGTATCAAGAAGGTCGTGGATTTGCCCTACTGTCGAACTGATAGTTCAAGACCTTTTTAAATTGTCTTAACGCTGATTACTATTTCTGTGTATTAGGCGTTAACAGGTTATTTTCATGTGATTGAAGCAAGATTGAAGTGATCTTCGCGCTGGGCTCGTGTTCTCGGTGTGTGTACGTGTTCTGGGTGGCTGCCATAATGCCATTGCTTAGACCGTGCAATCATATATATATGTGTGAGATTGCTATGACTATGAGGCTGTGCCACGGTGAGTGCTGCCGAACCAAAGGTAGGGTTGCAGCAAGAGGTGCTGCCGCCGCTGTTCCGTGCAGAGTAAACAGCTTGTAGGTTCCCGTACAGCATGTTTTAATTGTGTGAGCTGCAAAAACAGTGAGTTTCTTACCCGTACAAATATCGAGTCGATATACGTAATTATAGAGCACACATGTCGGCACCGCGAGTGAAAACTAGAGAACGAGCTGTTTCATTGCTGCGCAGAAACCTAGCATACATGGAGGCGATCACATGATATATTTAAGCACTATGATTAATTGCACTACCAGCACACGCGAGGTTTATCGCCGAATGCACGATTAAAAATTCACGTGCTCTCTCCTCCCCTTCCCTCCTCTCTTCCCCTTCCCTCCTCTCCTCCCCTTCCCTTCTCTCCTCCTGTTCCTACTCCGCTTTCTTCACGTCATGCCCTTCTCTTCCTTCTCCCCTCATTCCCCTTCTCACCTTGCTTCCCATCCTCCACCTCCTCCCCTTCGTCCCCATCCTTCATCTTCTCCCTTTCTTCTCCATCCTCCACCTCCCCTCGCCCCCTATATCTCTCCTTCCCATCGTCCACCTACTCCCATTCCTCCCCACCCTCCCCCTCTTTTTCTCTTATCCCTCTCATCACCTTTCATTCCTTCCTCCCAATCCTCCACCTCCTCCTCTCATCCCCTCCTCACCTTTTACCCTTTCCTCCCAATCCTACAGCTCCTCCACTTCCCTCCACTCCCCTACCTATTGCAGTCATGTCTGGAGCTTATAAATGGATTAGCTGGTAATGTCCATATATATATACACATGCTGATACTATTACAACAGTGGAGAATGTCAGAGACGAATCTCTAGGTGTATGTATATCGATTCCTGTAGTCTGTGCACAGCGTGTGGCTGCACACACAATCGAAACATTTTTTTTCGGATTCAGGGATTTTCGTCGTGCGATTATGCACGCGTCTCGATTAAATGGGATGCCGACGTTTGCATAAGACGCCACGTCAATGAAGTCGCCTCGATACAACTAATGCTAGTTATGCCGACGTTTGCATAAGACGCCACGTCAATGAAGTCGCCTCGATACAACTAATGCTAGTTATGCCGACGTTTGCATAAGACGCCACGTCAATGAAGTCGCCTCGATACAACTAATGCTAGTTAGCTGTGTTGTCCTATTCTCGTTAATGCCTCGTTAATAGCTCATTAATTGCAATGACCGGTTCCACTGGCTGGATCGTTAATTTTCCGGGCCTTTGTGCTGAGACTGAGACACTAG